CAAAAGAAAACAACTAGCTATATTAATTTCTGACAAATCAGACTTCGTAATGAAGAAAATACTGAAGGGGTCAATTCTCCAAGAAGACATAACAATCTTAAACGTGCATGCACTTAACAAGAAAGCATCAAAATACACAAGTCACAAAATGGAAAGGAGAAGAAATAGATAAATCCATTATTATATTGGAGACTTCAACATCCTTCTCTCAGTAATCAATAGATCAAGCAGGCAGAAAATCAAAAAAGGTATTGATGACCTGAACAGGAGCACCATCAATCAATTGATCTGCTTGGCGTTAACAGAATAATCCACCCAACGGCAGCAGAATACACATTCTTCTCAAGCTCACAGGAAACCTTAACCAAGATAGACCACATTTCAGACCATACGATATTTCTTAACAAATTTAAAAGAATAGCAGTCATACCAAGTATGTTCTCAGATCAAAATGAAATTAAACTAGAAATCAATAGCAGAAAGATAACTTGAAACCCCCCTAAATATTTGGAAATTTAACAACATACTTCTAATTAATTCATAGTTTAAAGAAGAAATCTCAAGAGAAATTACAAAATGTTTTAAAGTAAATAAAGTGAAAATACAGTTTATCAAAATATGTGGGATGCAGTGAAAGAAGTGCTTAGAAGGAAATTTTTAGCATTAAATACATATATTAGATAATAAGAAAGATCTAAAATCAGTAAAGTTTCCACCTTAGGACACTAGAGAAAGAAAAGCAATTTAAGTCTAAAAGCAAGCAGAAGAAAAGAAATAATAAAAATTAGAGTAGAAATCAATGAAACTGAAAACAGGGAAACAGCAGAGAAAATCAACAAAGCCAGCAGCTGGTTCTTTGAAAAGATGAATAAAATCAATAAACTGCTAGCCTGATGAACCAAGAAAAAGTGAGAGAAGACACAACTCACCAATATAAAAACAGGAGGAGATGATCTTATTTGAGCATATGATACGTGTGGGTGTGTTTGGCCTTCTTGCATCAGACTCCTCTCCTCTTAAAGGAGACTAACAAAACAAAATGAGAAAATGTTTTCCAACCATTTTTTTAAAAGTTGTCATGACATTCATAAAAAATTGGTTGGATGGATGGATGGATGATAGATGATGGATGGATAATGGATGGATAGATGGATGGATAGAACGATGGGTGGATGGATGGATGATGGATGGATGGGTGGATGATAGATGGATGGACAGATGGATGGATGGGGCACACTACTGTAAATAGACAAGACGGCAAATGGAGGCTACTTCCTGGAACTCACTGGCCCAGGTGTTCTAGCCACCCCCAGCTCTAAGAGTCTGCCTTGAGTGGTGAGAGGGTCAGTATCTCCACCAGCCTGGCTCTTTCATTTGCATGTATGTGAAAACTACTTGTCTTGTGATGTTAATAGTGTTCATATACCCAGTTCATCAGGCAAAACATCAGAAGGCAGAAAGGAAAGCCACAGCTCCACCTCCTCAACCCCCAACACTCACACCCCTTCTCCCAGTACTCCAGAGACCCCATCCTCCCTACCTCTGGGACTCCTGAGTGAAAAAGGGGACACCTGCAGCTTAGAAGGAGAGTGGACCAAAATGTGTCCATATGAGGTCTGTGAGCCCAGGCATGTCGCTGACTCTTTAGACCGTTTCTCCAGCTGGGGAGCAGCCTCTGACATGTGTGCCACAGACTCTTGGTTACCTGAATCTCTGAGCAAGGCACACTGGATCATTAGCTTCCATAGAGGAGGCACTTAGTTAATAGCAAAATATGAGTAGCTGCTAGTCCTCTTGACCACTATGCATCTGCTGATATGCCCAGCCCTGACCAAGGCCCTGGGAATGGGAGAGGAAGAGGACTGGGCCCTTTCCTTGAGGTGTCTACTGCAGAGGCGTTGATTCATCCAGCCAGCCATTCCCAGCCAGCCCTGGAGCACCTGAGACGGGATGAGCTCTGGGCATAGAGCCTAATGTGTCAACAGAGGTCAGCACAACAGGCAGACTTCTGTGGACTGGGAAACACTGGACTCACACGATAGATGGGGACAGGGAGAAGAGGGGCTGGAGAACTACTGGCTGATAATGCTACTGAGAGAGGCTAGAGAAGGCAGTCTCCTCTGTGACAGACTACGTGAGTGAGTGATTTTTGCCTCCTAAAATAGAAACTCAAATTCGTAGGTATATAGAGGAGCAGCAACGTGCTATAGCTATGAAATCTACTGCCACTTTTATGGCCATATTAAGCACGTGCATACATGCCAAATTAGATCCTGTGTCTTTCCTCAAAATGCTTGGCCCTGAAGATGACCCGGATAAATGGAGAACCAACATAATTAAGTGAATGCTGAGCAAAATGGCCAAATGTGGGAAGTTACCCCAAAACAATGTAAGGAGTGGCAGCCAACATTGTTTACTGAAAAATACATGTCATAAAACTCTACTCCTGTAATCAGGCAGTCCATCACTTGACCCGTGGAAGACGGCAGTCCCCAAACCAAGATGCCATTTCTCTAAGCATCCTCTGACCTTTTGTGCCTTGCCACCAGACCCAGGACTGGACGGTTGACTGCAGGGTCGGAGGCCCCTGGGCACGGAGGGGTGTTCAGGTCCTCTGCCTCCTCTCTCCCAGAGCTGAGCCCATTCAGGCCTTCTTGCACATGGCAAGGTGGCAGGTGTGCACCATGGAACAGATGATGCAGCCAAGTTGCTCCTGGATAGAATTTTTCACTGAATTACATTTAGAGGAAATAAAAGACCTTCAGTAGTGAGCAGCAGGGTCCCCGAGTGTTAGTTGTCTGAGTGAGTGTTGTGGTGTGTGGCAGGAAGCCCCTGAGGGGTACGCTGCCCCAGATCCATGACAGCCTACTCTGCCACCATCTGGCACCTCTCTCCCTCACGGACAGTTTGGACAGGTGGCAGCCTGAGAGGTGCCATCGTTCCCAGCTCTGTGGCCTCCCTGTTCCAAGTGCTGAAGAGCTGACCTCCACCAATGACTCACTGACAGTGAGCTGGAGATGTCAATAAGCCCACTATAAGTGACAGCACCCTTTAACACAGGCACACGGTTCTGAGAATTAATTCCTCCCACCCCCTCCCAGGCAGCCTTGGCGAGAATAAAGTGGGGATTGACATTCTCACAAATTCCCCATCTCCTGCCTGTGTTTATCAGGAATCGAGGTCACGACAGCTCTGATCATTCACTTCTCCAGCAGTACATGCCGTAGAAGGGCAAAGCCCAAAGTTTGCATGTTCTCTCTTTTTTCCTCCTTCTCCATCCCCCTGCAAAAGAGAAAGTGTCACAGCCATAACCAGGCTGACACTTGGCTTGAGTGACTTTAGCACCTCGTCAGAGCACATATCTGTGCTGTGATGGTGTTCACACCGGCTGTCATCAGCACAGGGAGCGCTGGTAGTTGTCATCCATGGGCAGCCTGGAAGAGCCTCGGTGAATTTCACCTTTTCCTGTTTTTCTCTGAAGGTCATCTCATGCTGCTGTGATGTCCCAGCTGGTGGTTCAAAAGCAAAGTCTATCCTCTCCTTTCTCTCCAGTCTCTCTAGTAGGATTCAGAGTTTTCCTGATGAGTGACTCTAAGATTAGTAAAGAAATCATCATTTATATCAGCTTTCTTAATCTGAGAATGACTTTTATGAATTTATGAGTTATTAGAGCACAACACTTTATTGAAAAAAAAAATGTTTTAAGAAGAAATAATTGCCCAGCACCTTAACATAATTATCTTCATTGCACATACTTGCTTCCAGTCTCTGCCCACAGGTAGGCCTTGTTCATAATTGTGATCGGTGTGTACACAGCGCTCAGTTCTGCTTTTTCCACCTGACATCAGATCTCCATAATTGTCATATTGAATGATTGACCAGATATATTTCTCTCAGTTGCTGATTTGTGATATCTTTAATACTCAAGGAAGGTAGAAATATTTAGTTTCTCCTAATGTTCTTACAGATGTATGATACTTTCAGATGTATGTAACTTTTACTTGCTTTTAAATATTTTTTTAGGAATAATCCCAGGAGTGGGATCCCTGGATTTTGATATGTATTTGCCTTACTGATTTTTTTGAAAGGATGATCAATTTATGGTACCGCTAGTAGAGTCATGACCATTTTAATGATAAGAACCAAGAGATATGGTTATGGAAACTGATGCAAAACCTAATGAAAAATTCTTTTTGTTTGTTTTGATGAGCTCTGTTTTCATGTTATCATCTTCACTGGGCAGGCCTGATGGAGGCCTAAGGACAGAAAGGAGTAAGAAATGAGGAGAGAGGTATTTTTGCAGAACAGCTCACAGTGCATGACTCAGCATTCTTTCCTTCTCTTGATTCTATTTCTGGCAGGGCAAGGAGACCATTTGAGTGTGAGATACTGGTAGATCTAATCTCAGAACAGGAGCTGCCCCCTCTTGATGAGGAGACAGCCGGAGGTGAGCTAGACAGACCCCATGAGAGCCAGAAATAGCTTCATGGTGGACCATGCTGGGGGAGGCATCCAGCTAACACTGGGCCTGCAAGAATTCTTTGATCCATCTGAAATTCTGAAATCTGGAGGCTCTGACCTCATCTTTTTGCCTTCCGTCTTCTTTCTGGGGCATTTTTGCTGAAAGCGACTGGCCAAAGGCAAATCCTCTGACAGCCGTTAAGGTAGAGAATGGTGTGCAGAGATCTGGCACCCTAAGAAAGAACGCTTCATGGGCGATTACTGAACAGTGCAGCTCTCAGATCACACCAGGGGAGAGGGCAGTCATCAGCGGTGCCTAATAAAGTCACCAGAAGGAAGGTATGTTAGAACATGTGTGTTAGAACAATGCAGAGTGCTGGAGTGAAACGACTTGGCCCTTCCCTTCCAGATTAGAAGCCAATAGGGTTTTGAGGTAATCTGATGATGTTCCTCCTCCAAAGGTTATGCCTGATGATTGCTCAGACCAGTAGACTGATCACTGCACCCAGTATTGGTACAGTAGGCACACCTGGAGAAACGCATTGTAACGTACATGTTAGACATGGCACTGAGTGCCTGGGCCAAGGTCATTCAGCTGCGGCAAAATGAAAAAGTCACTTGTTCCTTGGCCCTTTGGGCCTGGCTCAGAGTCTGTACCCAATAGATGCTCACCAGTGAATGAGTCCAGGTATTCTGTCACTCGAACCCCTGCTTCTCCCCAATACCTTGCAGCCTCTATTGGATAAAATCTAGGTTTCCTGTAGCCTTTGCTCTACAGTAGTAGTTCACAGATCAAAGGACAGACATAAAGATAATGGGTTCACCCAGCAGCCTCATTAGCCCCTGCTTCTCCCCAATACCTTGCAGCCTCTATTGGATAAAATCTAGGTTTCGTGTAGCCTTTGCTCTACGGTAGTAGTTCACAGATCAAAGGACAGACATAAAGATAATGGGTTCACCCAGCAGCCTCATTATCCCCAACGTAGCTTCCACGTTTTAGGGAGCTCATACCCTTCTGGACCTCTGTCTGTTTTGGAGTGATCAAGGAATAGAAGCCCTTAATGCTGCTGATTGGACAGAGCTGACCGTTTTTCACGGGCCGGAAAAGAGATGCTGAAGGAAGGAGGCCGGCACAGCTGCGGGGCTGCATGGTCTTGGACAACTCACTTAACCTCTCTAAGCCCCCTCCCCCATAAAAGGGGCGTGATCGCCCTTGCTGCATGGCTGTCGCGGGAATTAAATGAGGTGGTGTGGCAGACCTCCCCTGAATGGAGAGAGGGAATCGTGCTGTGAACCTGGAGAAACTGCTCCTTCGCCCCACCAGCCTCGCTGCCGCTCCTCTGGCCTGCACAGGCTGTGGGCTGTAGTCACGGCAGCCGGCAGCCACTGTAACTGCAGAGCGCACGTGACGGTTCTCCTTGCATGACGTCTTCTCTAATCTCTTCTAGGAGGTGCTCGAACTTGCTTTTTCCATCTTGTATGACTCAAACTGTCAGCTGAACTTCATTGCTCCTGACAAGCATGAGGTAAGGGTCTTCATGGGTTAATTTATGAGAAAATGTTACATTTGCTCCAGAAAAAACTAGCAGAAGGAAAAATATTGGAAGGAAATTTTATTTAAAATTTAAAAAGCCTGCCTGAGAAAATCATGAACAAAGGGGCATCTTGTCGACTTGGAAGAGACTAGAAACCTCTTGAAAAACTTCCAATTAACAACAGGTTCGACTTCTCTGTAGCTTGACTGATAGTTCATGGTAAAGAAAAAGCATGTATAAATGCTTCAAACTCAGCCAAGGCATAATTGTTAATCCAGAGGAAGAAGTGGCCCTTGTTACAGCTTTGGTTTTCATTGAATATTCAATTTGTGGTCTGGGTTTCCCAAGATAAACTGGTTTCTGTTCTTTAAGATATCTGATGAACTACGTTTTCTACCAACTTTCTTTAAGCTATTTTAAGAGGTTTAGGGCTGTCTCTGCTGTTGAAATTTTATTTTCAAGATGCTTTTATTCCTTTCTGACATCTTGTTATATGTATAATTTGTTTCTCTTCTTGAAACACGCTGTCAGCTATATTTAAAGTATTTAGCATAAATCTACAAAAATGCATTTGTAAGATAAAGTAGCAGTTACGGTTGATTTAACTTTTTCTCTTATAAACTGAAGCCAACATCATGCTTGAAACTTTTATTTTTAGATAATACCATTCAAATTTTTGTTTTGCATGTGGTTGCATAAACAGCTTTTTAGAAAGGAAGGGAACATTTTAATGGAATCTGACTTTTGTTCTCTGTATCCCTGAGGAGATTTAGCTCATTTAGAAGTTATTCAGCGTCTGCTTTTCACTCATTTGAAGCTTTTGAATAAAATTGCATATCCTAAAGAGAGGGGAAAGATTAGGCACAAATCCTGCATTTAGAATGGTGCTTAAATATAATTCTGTGTCACTTGACATTTAGTTTGCAGAAGGGTAAGACTTTATCTTCATCTTTCTGAAAATAGAGACTGTGTCCTACTGTTTCTGTTTTTAAATCAGACTGTGGTTATGCACAGGCCACCATAGTCCCAAGATGTATAGAGCTGTATGAGAAACTACTTAAAATAGTAGAACTTTGGGTGTTATTTAAATCCATGCAAGGCTGTTTTCTTAAGTGTACGTTAATTCCAGATAAGGATAAATGCTCTGGAACTGGCAAATCTGTATTCGTGTCCGCCACTTCTGCAGACGCAAGGAGGACACGTTTCCTTTCCTCAGACCACTTTCACACCTGTTACCTCATTTTATTTTCATAATCACTCCAGAAAGTAGGAAGTTCTAGTCCATACATCCTCATTTATCAAATGAGGAGTGAGAGGCCTCCCAGAACTGAATACCACAGCAGCAGACGGGATAATAGTAATTAGAATTAGCCTCCCTGACTCTGCCAGGCACCATTCAATGGTAATATATATTTTACCTCACTTAATCCTTACATAACTCTAAAAGAAACAAACTAATATTGTCCCCATTCTATAAAAGAGAAATGAGGCACAGAGAGGCTAAGAAACGTGTTGAAGTTCACACAAGTAGTAAGTGATCGGGCTGGAAATACATCCCAGCGGTCTGGCTGCAGAGTCCCCTTCCCGTTAGGCCCCAGACTGCAGAGGTGACAAGGGAGAGAGCAGGGGTGACTGACGCTCAGCTTCCGTCACCAGCACACGGCCAGCCTCGTTCCATCCACTCCCCACCTACACTTCCTGCACACCCAGCTGCCACCCCCCAGATTATTTTGAAGCAAATGCGGGTATCCCTTCATTTTCTTTGTAAATATTCCTGTGTGCGTCTCTCAATCCTAAAGAGTCAGTTTTGAACAGAACTGCGATATCGTTATCACGTCAAGTAAATAAGGAATGTGGTAGTTGTTTTAATACCACCACGTGCAGGCAGTTTTCGGATTTCTCCAATTGGCTCGTTTGTGTGGTTTTTCTTTTCTACTTTGTTCAAATCAGAATCCATGTAAAATCCATATATTGCAATTTGCTGACATACTTTTTAGGGTTCTCTGAATCTTTAGGTTCCTCTTTCTCCTCACACAGCCATGTGCATGTGCTTTTTTCCCTTGGGACTTATTTATTGAAGAAACCAGGTCATTAGTCCTGTAAAATTGTTGGTGGTCTAGACCCTGCTGATTATACCTCTGTGTTTTTGTTTACTCTTGTTACTGTAACAAACTACCACAAAGTAGGTGTTAATTCCAAGTATCACAAATTACAAACTTACTGTCTCACACTTCTGGAGGTCAAAAGTCTAATGTGGGTCTTACTGGGCTAAAATCAAGGTGTCAGTAAATCTGCATTCCCTTCTGGGAGCTCTAGCGGAGGGGCCACCCACATTCCTTGGCCTAGATTTAGTTCATTTTCTATTGTTATAAAGGAATACCACAGACTGGGTAATGTATAAAGAAATTTATTTCTTACAGTTCTGCAGGCCGGGAAGTCCAAGGTCAAGGGGCCACTTCTAGTGAGGGCTTTCTTCCTTGAGGGGACTCTGTACAGAGCTCCAAGGTGGTGCGGGGCATTACATGGCAAGGGGGCTGAGTGTGGTAGCTGAAGTTTCTCTTTTTCCTCTTGTAAGATGTAAAGCTCGGGCTTGCAGACCCCTCGAGTTTGTTGCACAGGTTGGGTCACAAACCCTCCACACGCAGGTCTTGAGCTAGGTAATAGGGAAAAAAAGGTTCTGGGAGCTGTGGGTATAGAAAAATGAATGGGTTTTACTCAGATCTAGCAGCAACTGTCCTAGTGACTTCTCTGAGAGTTCTGTGAGGCACCGTGGATCAGAGCTGTTAGTCTTTTATACTTAAGTCCACAACCCTGGACACCCGGGTGCCCATATGCAACTTACATTAAGTAGTAACAAGGAACACCTGAGGACATTTACAGCAAATGCTCAGCAAGGTTCTGAACATCCGAGGGGCCCTGACATTTTCCTATTTTTCCCAACAATCCACCCCTTCAGGGTCCCTCACTGTATAATCTACACGTTCAGAATCTTCCGCAATGTTCCCTTAGCAAGGATAAGTGACCCTTCCATTCATACAACCTATTGTCTGTCCAATATGCCTTAAGGCTTCTCCTTAGGTTTGTCCTGTAGTTTTGTTCTTTCAATTATTAGCCGAACATGTCTGATTAGTAGTCCTCAGTGGTATGAAGTTCAGTGTATATTCAATAAGCCAACACCTTAGTCACATGAACACATGTCTGTATCCAGTTGACTCTGGTGCCTGCAGCCAGAACACTAGGGGTGAAAAGACAGAAGGGTTATTGGTACCAACAGGGGGAGTTCTCGCCCCTCTGGTAAGATACATGCCAGTTTGCCATCCTGAGGAAGGATGGTTGCAG